GCTGTTGGGCTTTAAAAGCACAAGTATTTTTGAGACTGAATTTGATCAATTTGCATCAGAAATTGTATGGCATGCCTGTGTAGGAGAGCATAAGACTGCGCTCCCAGTCCTGCCTCTGAGATCCCTGTCCGGCTCTGGCTCAGTTGTGCAAGTCAGTTCCGTGTGCTCTGCCTGCTACTTTCCCAAAGAGGCTGTGAGAAGCTATGCTGTATGCGACAAATGACAGTTTGGACAGGTACAATAGTAAGCTGTAGTTCAGGTGGCTGATAGCAACCTGCAATTCTGTTTATGGTTAACTGGAAGCCAGAGAATTGGGGTGGTATTATATGTACAGTTCATAAATCAATGTGCAGGCTCGTTTGTTGGTGTGAGTGACAGTACACGAATGCAAGTCATCCTTGTCTCTGTGAAATCCCTCTGCTGTCTCCAGCCCTGAAGTGCATTGCCAGTAAGGCCAGAGGCACGTCCTGCTGCCACTGGCCATGAGCCTGAGTGTTGGTGTTATCTGGCCTTACCTGAGAGTTGTGTTTTCTGGTAGTATAGAGTATGGCTACGTATCTGTTGCTTGGGATACTCTTTTCAGCTTGGCTCGCCGTTTCTCTGTGTGGCTCTATGGCAGTGAGGAGGTTAAATAGGTAATGCCAAAGCAGACAAAAATTGTATTACAGTCGACGAAAAGTGTGGTGTTTTGCTTACTGGTTCATTGAGCAAAACTGTCCCGACTTCTTAAGGAAAAAAAAAAAAGTGCCTCAGTTTGCATTTCTTCAAATATTTCAACAAAAAAACCTATGTGCATGCATACGTTTTTTTCTCGGTGTGCCCTTCTCCATCTGTCCTGATGTTCAATTAAAATGCAGATAATGTGTCCCAGCTTGTAAGATGGATCACTGCTGAAGTGGTGTCATGTCTGGGCCAGCTTATCTCTTGATAAATACCTCTGCTGTCCACTGAGAGATTAAACTTCATGACTACTGAGGTCTGTTTGGGGGTCTTACAGGCAGATAAGACTGTGTTACTCACTTTTAATAAAATGTATCAATTTACATTTGCTGAAGGACCTTTGGATGGCATTTGCTATTGAGAAGGTGGCAGTGGCATAATCAAATGATAATACTTGTATGTGAAACTGGCTTTTCTAAGTATTGTAATTTATTGACAGGACTGCTTTATTGAACCCTCTTGTGTCTAGAGTGTGGAGATGAGGAGCTTGAGCTGCTGTTACAAGACCTCATTTAGCTCTCTAGCAGAAAGGATTTCTTTCTCTGAGTCTAATCTAGCAGGAGCCGTGGCAGAACATTATCAGCTAGGTACAGAAATCTCAGGCGGCTTTGGTGTGTGGGACGCACACAGATGCTGTGTCCTGGAGCCTGTCTTGCCATGACAGCTGTGCAGTCAGGGCTCCCACCACGGGGAATGCTCTTCTCCTTTGGGCGGTTGAGTATGGACAGTGCTGGACTTGCAGACGTGCTTTAAGTGAGGAGATGTTATGTGTGGTAGTAGTGGTGAGCAGCCGGCTCCTCTGACTGGACAGTATCTGAAAAATTTACTGTCTCCCATGTGTGCAGGGAATGAGGAATTTTGTCATGGACAAGTCTCTGAATAACAAACTGCTTAGTGCTGCTGAGGAGCTTCATCAGGGAGAGGTTTTTGTTTGAGTCCAGGCCTTGCTTGTGCTACTCTAAAGTTTTATATAAATACAGCATTTGGGTATATATTTCTGAATCTGTGCCTGCTCTCTGTTCGTGAGCATGAAGATACAACTTTTTAGACTGTACCACTCTGTCTTATTGAAAGGATGTGGGAATTTGTAGGCAAAGACTGTTTTAGTGTTCCATACCACAGTATCTATGGCTTCATTTCCATTTTAGATGCCATGAAGTGATTGAAACAGCAGAGTGTGTATATATGTACATGTGAAACATCTCTTTATCCCCAAGAATTGAATTCAGAAATAAAGTACTTAAAATACTTCTAAAATAAAGTACTTAAAACTGTTCAGCGATACAGGCTGAAGTCTCATGTAGTTCTACACGTAGATAAACAAGTAGCAGTCATGGTGCGAACTGTTGGTAATAGGAATTATGGACAAAGACTGCTGATTAATTGTTATGTTCTGTCTTTCTGCTCTGGTGTTCTGCCTCTGAGGGAAGGCCAGAGAGGGGAAATGGGTGGAAGGGGCCCAGTGAAATGCAAACCATGCCTGCACCAGGAGGCTTAGTGATGCTCACTTGTGCTCTTAGTGTTTTGCTCTTGGTCCAAGTTTGAGCAGCGCTTTGGCCATTCCTGCCTTTCAGATCAGTAGAGTTTGGGCTGTGGCTAACCCCTTACCCTGCTCTGAGCACGGGGAGAAGGGAGAGGTAAATGGTGAATTCAGCATGATGTGTGCATGCCCCTACCATTTCTCCCTCTTGCAGGCATTGTTCTTGTTTCCAGTCACATACCTTTAGCTTGACAAAGAGCCACTAACATGCGATCATGGAGTATGACGTAGAGTTAACAAATACAGGAGCTCGGCTTGTCTCGACGGCATGAGCGTGTACCAAGCTGTGTCCACAAACATGAGACGAGCATCAGTGGCTTAGGGGACTGGGGTTTGCTCTTTAGATCATCGTAACGTTGCCAGTTTTCATTTGATGATTTTACACAGCTGTAGCAACATTAATTAAAACTCCTAACACCACTCTGAGCCTTCATTTCCATTTTCTAGATATTTTTTTTTCTAAAGTCACGGTGAGGTTTTAGTTTATGGGTTGTTAGAGATGGGCCTAAAGAGTGAAGGACATGTTTTTGGAGAAGTAATGAGTAGTTTGTCTGTCTGTGGATGCCTTGAAGAGCCAAATATTTCTAGGAGGCAGGAGCTGCTCAGCCCTTTTGTCTGAACACCAGACCTCTTCCATATACATGAGGTTGTGCACTGGGAGTTTTTAGTTATTATGTAAGTCTTGGTTGAGTTGTGAATCCCAGTCCTTCGCTCACTGTTATCTCAGCCATATCAAGGGCTATGACAATAGATCTGCTAGTTGGAGGAGAGTCTGCTATACCTGTTGCTTTGATTTTCAACACAGAGATCCGGAGTCTTCATAACATGCATTTTGTGTTTCTTTTGACTATATGATATTTTACTATATCTGATTCATTTAGTATTTATGGGAGGTATTTTCTCTTAGAGAAAGATTAGGAGGAATCCCCATGCCCTTGTCCTTGCAAAAGCCAGACTGTCATTATTAGTATTATTATTATTTTATCTTGCAATGTCCTTGCAAGTTTCTTGCAAGCATTGCTGTTTAATTATTTAGGTGGTTGAAATGCAAGAACTGTGCTCAGTGATCTTTACTGTTCTTTTTGTCTTACAGATTGAGGGATTTTAATGGCTTTCAGGTAGAAGAAAGTGGAGACAATCAAGATGAATTCTATGGACAGGCACATACAGCAGACCAATGACCGGCTGCAGTGCATAAAACAGGTAAGCTGGAGATCATTGCTGCTCGAGGAGTGTTATGTACTGTGTTGCAGGGTGTGTTGTTCGTTACAGTTATCTGTTGCTTAATGAATGTCCTTGCCTTTTGGAGAGGGGAGGATGGTAATAGGAATGAGACGTAATCTCATTGAAGCACAGAATATCTGCTGCAAAAGTTTGTGTATAAGCCTCAAAAGCTGAGCTTTCCCTTTCACCTTTCTAAGAAATCTTCAACCAGGAGACTCAACAAATCTGTCTCAGCTGAAAGCAGAGTGGTGCTAGTCCTGCCAGCTCTGCCCTGAGGGTATCACAGCGGGCAGCCATTGTACTTGTGCGTGCTCTGAGCACAGTCACAAAATTTTGACATACAAGTTTTGATTCTAAGCCAATATCTGACCTGAGACCTGCACTGGCAGTTGGAGACTCCAGCTTGGGCAGTTGGCATACCCCCAGGTGCTCGCATTAATCAGTTTGCCTGGAGATATAAAAACTTCTGTTTACAAGATGTAAAAACTTCTGTTAAAATTTTCAGAAGCATCTGTTTGTGAAGACAAAGGGCCTTTATAATTCACTGAAAGGCAGTGGATTTTAGGTCTCATTTGCAGGTTTCTCCATTGTAACTGTGCTTGCAAATGCTTTTTTTTTATAATCAAGTAAAAAAACACAAAGGAAAAACACAAAGTTGGGGATGGAATGAACAGATACCATCTTTCCTTGCCTTATCCTTCTCAGTAAGCTTTGCTCTCTGGCATTGCAGGCAGTGTGTATCCTGCCTTCACATAACGTTCTTCTCTACGTGCAAGAATCCTTGTAGAAAATTCATAGCAATGGTCCTTTGTGTAGAAGAAGTGAGCAAGAGAATGGTTTCTCATGTTGATGTTCCTATCTCTCATCCAACGTGTACATGCAGCAAACAGGTGCATAAGTGCAAGTTGCACGCAGGTGTTTTGAAGATTGGTTATCCCAGCTGGGTCCATAAGATGAGCTCAAGAGTTCATCTTTTCGGAACTGACTGAGGTTTTCTGAATTACATTGGAAACACAGAACAACATTATTCTGTGAAATAATGTTCCCAGAAAATTTTTCTCTGCTCTTTGATCAGTTTTCTCTGTCAGTTCAGGCCACAATACGTTTAGAAACCAGAGTCCTGCTGTTTCAGTTTCATGTACGTATTAACTTTTAAAACCTACCTGCCTACTTTTGCTGTGGAACACGTGCATATTGCTTCTTGAGGCAGTGCAGCACTTCTCCAGGGAAGTGTTGTGGCACCAAGCCTGTCAGAGTTCAAGGACCATCTGCACGAATCTTAATCATGTGATTTGGGTGGTCTTGCAAGGAGGAGGGAGCTGGACTTGATGATCTTGATGAGTCCCTTCCAACCTGAGTTATTCTATGATTCTCTGATTATTTGTGACTGTTCTATTGGTTTTGGCATCTTCCCTCATTATGTTTTGTCATGTTTACCTAGGCATCTCTAGAAGTTGTGTGGTTTTTTCCTAGAATACCATGTAATGCTAAGAAGAGAAAATAGCCTTTCCTCTGGCCATGCGGATCCTTTGAGGGATATGAAATAAGGAACAGAGTTTACACCTAAACCAGATGATTTTTCTCTCCATTTTTCCTTTATAAGAGAGGATTTCAGAATAAATCAAAGTTAGTTCATAGGTCAAGGAGCAGAAATAGGAATATGTCCCTGAAGAATTGCTGCTTGTAATCCAGCCTCAGCCCGTGGTGGCTCTCTCTTTCTCTCTCTCTTTCATCACTCTGTGGTGAAAGTTAATGCATCTCGTGGCCCTTTAGAGGCCTGAGGGAAATGTGAATTTTGGGATTTCATCCCAGTTTCTTATGAACAGCTATCTGGTTCAGAAAAAACATGCCCTTGACTGGCACAAAGGGGTGTTCATTTTGGCCATCCTTGCCCGTGGGATAAAGAATGAAATGACTTGCAGAACAGCTTAACCTTTCAGCTGTAAGAACAGACCTTCAGATCAAGAGGAGACAAGTGGAGGATGCTTCTCAGTTCCTATTTCTAGAACTGTTAGTTTCTATACATAGAGAATTTCTATTATTTTAATTAGATAATAGAATATCAAATTTTACTTGTTACAGTATTAAAGAGATATTTTTGCCTATATAATGTGTACTCTGTCAGTTAAACCATTTACTTCATTTATACATAGAACTGGTTTACACGTGCAACTAGAATATTTCCTCAGCAGTAAAAGCTGAGGGGAAGAGAGGAAGGTTAGGCTTTCCAGCATTTCTGGAGCATTCTCTGTTTTCTTTGGTCCAGTCTAGGAGAAAGCTTGGGGTTTTCTAGTGGGCAGGGGCGTGCTTGCTTTTTGGAGGAGGCTCACCTCTCTGTCACAAGGTCATAAATTTCCAGCCTGGAGACACTTGCCTTGTTCGTTGCCACAGATGAATAGCTGGCAATATTAATGTGTTACTACAAAGAGTAATTTCCAGTTCACCCATAGAGAACTGGACCACATGCTGTTGCATCCATGTTGCTTTTGGGAGCAAAACAGTACCTTGCACAGCAACATCAATGTGTCCTCACTGATTTTGGAGATTAACTGCAGGGTCAGACAAAAATCTGTCTGCCTTTTCTTCACTGGTCTCCAGTCTTTTATCCTTTCTTTCCAGCCTGTGAGCAACCAGTACTGCTGTCCTCCTGAGGAGATGTGTTCTTTTGGGGTGGTTAACTCAGCAGTGGCATGGAAGGTGCCCTGCAGGAGGAGGAGGAAAGCCACCCTTCCTTGGTGCCCCCCATCTGTGTATTTTATAACTTTGCTGGCAGCTAGTGGCTCCTACAGCCAGACTGAGAGCTGCCTGCCGCCCTCCTTGCCCCTCACCCCAGCCCCTGAGAATCGCTATAAATGGTAATCCATGTGCCTCTTTTAACTAGATCAGGTTTCAACACAGGGTCAGGACAGGCTTCTTTCTTCCCAGCTCTGTGACTCGTGAGACACCCACAATATCCTTGCCGACTTCTGTTCCAGGATCAAGGTTGTGTTTTACCTTCATCTTTTTCAGCGCTTCAAAGCTGCAAACCCAAAACTTGTATATGATCAGCTAGTTAGGAAATGAAGTGTGCGTGTTAAGAAGTGTTTCAGAATAGATGAAAGGGCAAACTGAAGAGGTGGCTGTGTATTTATGCTTAAAAAAACCCCAGACTTCTGTGGAAGGCTGAAACAGCTTGTGTGGTCTCTTTGTAGCTGATTCCCTCAGTATTTGTAAGTGTATGTACTTTTAAAATCAAACATAGGTTTTTTTGGTGTACAGTGGAAAAAACTGAAGTAACAGACTTCCCTTAACACACAATTAGTTTGTCATGACACAGGAGACTCTTCAGAGTACATTGAAGGAGGTTGGATCTTCAGGGTGCGGGCTGCTTTTCTTTAATTCTTTGTCCATACAAACAAGAGTTCCAAATGATTTTGTGTTTAGCAAAGGTCTAGTAGCCTTTGAGAGCTGCCCTGTGTGAGGCTGCAGCAATCATCTAGTTATCTGCTGGGTGCTCACAGCTTGCATTGCTCTGAAGCACGATCCGTGGTGGAGCTCTGGGGCAGCAGGAGCTGGCTCAGGCAGGCACAGACGTAAATCTGAGACCTTCACTGGTGCTGGAGGCCCTGACACAGCCTTTTGAAGGAGCCAGCTTGCCTGACCACATAGGAAGTCCTGGCAGAGAATTGACTGGTTTTTATAAACCATTCTTTATAATAGACCAGAGGTCTGGCTTAGATTAAACACCGTTATTTTCTTCATGTGACACAAGCAAATACCAGGTAACATCAGTGGGTTGCATGACATCTTCTCTTTATTCTCAGCCTGATGGGTCAGCTTAAAAAACTTAGAGCTCTCTTAAATCTAGGGACTTCTCCCTTTGGTTGTCTTTGTTTGCTGGCAGTCAGTTTGTAAGGTTTTTATACATCTCTGACATTCTTGAAAAGAAGGTGATGGATAAAATCTTTCTGTATTTCATGGTAGGCCATGATACCTTCCTGCCCTGCTGAGGATGGTTGTGAGGGTACATACTAAAGCTCTGCTGAAATTTTAGTTGCAGCTCTCTGGTATTTGGTTGTGGTGGGAATAGAGAAGGTTGTTTCTGCAGCTTGTGTCATGGTACATCAGGATACACTGAGCACTATCATCGAATTGTGCTGGATTACTCTGGGAATGCCACTTAATTGGAGGCACACATCACATCGCTGATTTCTAGAAAGAGATTAGCATTTCTTCCCTCTTCCCTTCAAGCAAGCTTGCTGAATTGCTGCAGTTGCCATGCTTTGTAATGCCTACCCCAGCCATTCAGAGAGAGATGCTAAAAGTTGTAATTGCTGTGTGTTTTTGTTGATGTTTTCTTGCTTAAATTGGAAACAAGCAGGCCCATTTCTTTTACCATTCAGCAACTGAGTTTTTGGTTGCTTGTAATTCAGAGGAAAATAGAATTCTTTGTATATTTGCATAACTGTTAGCATTTAGGCCCTGAAATGTTTGAAATAATTCTTCTGCTCTTCAGTGTTATTGTTGCAGATTCATGTAAATGCTCAGCAGTCCTAAACCTGTCATTTGTTGTATATTTTGGACTGGTTAATGTAGACTGGCATGAAACCGCAGCTGAAAACGCTTTAATAAAGCTTCATAAAAATTTGATTGCTGAAGAACTTTGAAAATGAGAAGTATTCTTAGGAGGGGCGCATTTATTTAGAATACACATTTTTGGTTACAGGTTTTTAGAGCAACTAAATATAAAAGAACATACAACAGTAAGGCAAATGGTGAAGAAGGCCTTTCTGTTCCATAAAAAGCATTTGATGGGCCTCAAGTGTTACAGCCTATTTACTAAATGGTCCATCAATGCTGTCTTAGTAGCTGTACTTTTTTCTCTCCCTTTTTATTTTTTTTTCCCCTGAGAGCCATAGTTGCAAATTCTTTGTCTGCTGTTGTGCTCAGTCTTTTGGAATATTCCTCTGCAAGAGTTAAGTATGTTTAGGAAAACTTGA